TATTAGTCGGGTCAGGAAAATGTCCCCATTTACCATAAGAGTTTAGCTTCTATATATTAACACTGTAAATTTTTTATCAGGTCACTTAAGTTATAACTACAAATAATTATTTGTAAAGAGATGGAAGTAAAAATAGAGCCGTTAAAATGGGTCAGCCCAAGCCTCATGTGCCTTTGAGTTTGGTGGGCTAGAACAGGCCGGCCCGCTATTTGAATGAGCCTTAAAATAGCTAGCCCAACCCAGCTATGGGGCGATCCTTTATTTTTTTTTTTCCATTTTTTTTCTTCAAATCTTTAAGGATTTCTTCGTGACATGATCGCCTAATCTCAGAACAACTTCTGTTTTATTAGAACCGTATATTTGATAAGGAATCTCGTAATTAAAATGCAAATTCTCTATATTTCTAGCTCTTTTAACTTTGCATGAATTTTTTTTTAATACTCTTTTAATTGGGTTTAAGATTATTTGCTAATTCTATCATCATAGTCCATAAAATTTTTAAAATTTATTGAATTTGCTAGTGTTGTCAATTTTTTCTAAGTATTAAAATTTAATCATCTCCTGTACTAGAGAGTAGTTTAATTATTTAAAATATATTAAAATAATTCAAACTGACCAGTGGGAATATTTTCTTTTGAAAAAGAACCATTATTGACCATTTAAAACTGTCCTAGTTCGTTATTAACTAGGTAAAGAAAAACCAATCATACTACATGCATATCAAAAATCTAAACTCTAGTATCATCCCTTAATTGTTAATATGGAAGGGCAAATGCGCAATCTAAGGTTGAGGAACAGGGATTTTAGTTAATAGCTTTTTAAAATTTTTACCTTTTTTTTTTTTGCTTTTTTTTTTTATGTATTAAGTATTTATATTTGAATTTGACAAAAGTTTTGGCTCATGGGCTGGCATAGACTCACCCTCAGTCAAGTATCAAGGGCAATCGTGCTAACTTGGATCGGAATTATAAGCCTCAGTTTTAAATGGGCTCAAAAAATTCTAACCCAAGCCTACCTAAGTAGTGGGCTAGGTTAAGCTGGTTGCACGGGCCAAGCCCATTTTGATGGTATTGTGTAAAAATTCTTTATACTGTAGCTAAACCAAGTTTACGGACGAATGACATTATGCTATCGATTAAAAAGTTGGAATTTTACCTCCTATAGCAAAGGTTAACACCTTAATTATTTTAAATAAATATCATTTTAAAAAATTATATTCTATAGATACCTTTTAATGTTTATAGCAAAATATCTAATTTTGGTTACCTCCTACCCCTAAGCCACTAAATACGCTATTTTTTATTTTTCTCTCTCCTTTTTTTAGATTTTTCTCTCACATAATTACCGTATTTCACATAAACATCTCACTCCAAGTTCTATCGCTCTCTACTTTGATATGTCATTCTGTTCCCCCATTCCCTGAAAATACCTAGGTAACAAAAAGAAAAAAAACTGGCGCAACAGCTTGAAGAGAGGAGAACGGCTGGACAAAGAGTGGACCTAATCCAAAGAGACATCTTCAGCACCTCACACCCCTTTAGATCTTCATCATTCTTTCCCTCAAAATTGAAGATACACATACACAGATATAGTAGAGAGGAACGGATAAGAAGAGGACGAAACAGAGAGAACTAGAGTAAGAGGGAGGTGGCCAATTTGCTGCTTATTCAATTTCTTGGATTACCATGGAATTTACAATTATCAATTCGAACGAAATTATCTATCTTCTTGTTTTATTGTGTTGTTTACAATACAACGAAATTATCTACTCTACAGGATGCGTGGGAACAGTGAGATTCAGGGTTTTTGCTCGACGGTGGATTCGCTGGAAATTAGGGTTTGTTCTTGAACAAAGACGACGGAGTTTGGGGCTGAGCAACTTGAATTTCTGTTAATATTTTTCAATGTATCACGCTGTATTTTCATGTATTTCATTGTCTTTTTGTTCATTGTAATTCAATGTATCTCGCCGTATTCCATGTATTTCATTGTATTAACTGTCTTTTATTTTCATTGTATTTCAATGTATCCCGCTGTATTTTATGTATTTTATTGTATTCACTGTCTCGCTATATGCCATGAATGTATTCATATATTTTTTTAATTAATATAATTTATGTATTCAGATGTATTATATAATTTCTTTGAAGATTGCTATGTTTTTGGGGGTATTTTTCGGTTGAGAATCTTTTTTATAACTGGAAATACAAAATTTGTGTGTTATAATTGAGTTTGTTAAGTTATATTAGGAGTCTATTGTGTTAATTGATTCACTTTCCGTTTAAAAACAGTGTAATCCCATGTTTCACACCGTGAATACAGTCGAATACAATAATTTGTCCAGCTGTAATCCCATGTTTCACGCCATGATTACAGTCGAGAATCCACTCGAATACAAAAATATGTCTAGCTGTAATCCCCTGATTCACGCCTAGAAATGCTACTGTATTCATGAATACAGTAGCTTAAATACATCAAATACATCTTATAACAACAGAAAATGTATATATAATCCGTAATATAGCAAATGGTATCTATAGATAGCTAATTACCACAAAAAGATAGTGCTTTATGAAAATTTCTCTAAAAAAGTTTTGATAGAACCTTGAACAAGTAAGTATTGGAGAAACCACTCTTTACCCTCATCGTGTTCTATTACACCAACAACCTCACGAGATCTCATATGGGGTCTTCGAGAATTGATCTTCCAAACGATGCCGAAGTACAAACAAACAATTGACAATTTGCATTGTCCACTACTCTCAATTTTGATTGAGATATTTTGGTGTGAGGTGAGACTTGTGCAAGGAAAATCTAGCCGTTGAATATGAACCATGAGAACACCCTTCACCACTCACATCCAGGCTTTCAAAAATGGAAAGCTGAATTCAACAATTGAGAAAGAAACAGAAGCAGTACTTTTGGGAATCAAGGGTTGGTAGTGATCTGACTAAAAATGATTTGGAACACATTGGGCCACACTAATTGATTGGATGTACTACTCAATTTTGAACCGTAAAATTCAAGACAGTTTGGACATAACGTCAAGGAAACTTTAGTATCTAAGTTTTGATATTAGTCTTTGTATCTAAAGTATTACCACAATAGTACGCTCTTAGGTTGATTCCCTTGAAAAGTAAATGAATCTTCAATATATACAAATCTCAAAGTCCGGAACTCATAAAAAATATATGTTCGTATGAATCATGTGATGGTGTATAATCTAGCAATTCAGTTCGCGAAATGAACGGTCAAAAACAAGTTATAGGACAATATGGGCAGAAGAGGATCTAGCGATCAACTAAATCCAGTACTCGATCCGTTTCAATTTATATGATTATGAGGTAGTTTGACGTGATATCAAGCTTTAAAAAAAAAGCTTTTAAATATGTGGTCCTAAAAGTTAAGGGTAAAAGCTTCGTGGTGCGATGACATCCGTGTGACTATAAAAGCTTCTCATTAAAATGAGTAAAAGAGGAAGTTTACAGTTATTTTCTCCGTTCGCTTTTACTTGTTCACAATGTACTTGTCACTCCCTTTTAATAATAAAAAATGAAGTACATATTTTACCATAATACCCAAAATGATGATAGCATTTCAAAAAGTCTTGGAATAATGATAAAGGTAAAACAAGAAAAACAAAATTCTCTTGATTCGCTAAAATGGACTAGAAAAAATAAAAATATATTTTTAGTATAGTGAACAAGTAAAAGTGAACGGAGGAGTGTAAATTATTTTAAAACATAAAATGTGTTATTCTTTTGTATGAACTAACAAGGAACGGAGAATATTTTTTTACTAGATTATTTTTACATTTGCAGAAAAAGAAAAATATATAAATATAATAGATCACAGTTATTACGAACCCATAGATTCTAATCTTAATTGTAGATTCGCCTTCGTCTGTCTATAGGAAACTGCATTTTGATGTAGTTGTGACCGTTCAATTATTCTTATAAGAATAAAGAGAAGAAACAAAGGAAAAGAACAGTCTTTGTTATACAGCAAATGGTTTTATGACTAGTAATGCGGTAGATTATGGACATATGCATCATACCAAACTTGAGCAAATTCTAAGGAAGATGGAAAATGACAGGAACGAGTTGCCAAAGCTTAGAGTTCAATAATTTAGGGTATGATGGTGATTGGAACGATTGCAATGCGTTTCTATGAGAATTATACCTTGATTTCTATGAGGCATCTAAAGTTAGGTTTTTCACATGTTTACATGTTTGGACCAAAAAAAAAAAAAATGAACTATACTAAACTAAACTTGAGAGAATATTTTACAGTTTTATTCATATGCATCATGGTACTGACTCGTTATACATATACTACGAAACTATGAATTAACTAAAAATCTTCAGAATTAGTCAATAGCTCCAACGTCTACTTAAGCCGGGAAAGACAAAGAAAAAGAGAAGCACAGACATAAAAAATGCTTAAATTTGATGAAGAAGCGAAAAAAAACAGCCAACTGTAATGAACTAGTTGTCGGCGGAAGAAATAAGAAGAGGAATAAAATGAATATGGATTAGGGTATGAGTAAGTGATGTAGGCGACGTGGCAACATTTGGAGCGTTCATACACACTTATGATGGACGGCCAGATAACAAGTTCTATTAATAATCAAGGGAGGAGATCTAATAAGGAATATTCTAGACTTTCCTATTAGTAACAGAATTAACAGCAGTAACAAACAAGCAAATACCGGTAATTCCTAAATTCTTTCTCTCTCTATAACTTCTACTCTCTCTCGTCTCTCTCTCTCTACCTTCTAACCCATTTCTTCTTTCTTCTTCTTCTACAGGGATCATTGGAGACATTAGAATAAACTCCATTGGAGATATTAGAGTAGTTAGAGATACAATTCCTACAAATTGTAATCTTTGATTGATCTAATAAAATTCCCCTTGATTTCCGCAATTCTCTTTGTTTCCAAATTCATTTCATTGAGTTTATTACAATTGGTATCAGAGCACTTTCTTGGCCCTAAAACAATGACAATTACAGAAACTAGATCGAAAACTACTGAAGAAAACATTAAAAGAGTAGAGAATCAACTACAGGAGCACATGGCCTCAACAAATCAGAAGTTTGAAGATCTGAGCAGCAAGTTGGATCTTCTGATGGAGAAGCTTCTTCCAAATCATGATGGGATTCTAGGCAGTGGTCCTCGAGAAAGATTACAGTTGGACAACTCTGGAGCTAGGAGCAGGTATCGAGATGCAGTAGAACCTTCACATGGGAGAGGGCATTTCAGTCATAGGTTCGAATTCCCTTACTTTGATGGAGTTGGGTCTGATCCTTGTTCATGGCTGAGAAGATGTGAACGATACTTCCAATACAATCAAGTGTTAGATCCTCAACAAAAGCTGGAAGCCGCAGTGCTTCATCTGGTGGGTAAAGCTGAAGCTTGGTTCTTCTCCTATCAGGTGAGTCATGGATCCATCTCTTGGAAGGACTTCTGTGAGGAGATCTGTAGGAGATTTGTTGAAGCATATAATAGTAAGTTCAATTTAATTGGTGAATTCAAAAAATTAGAACAAAAGGGTACAATTAATGAATACCTAGAAAAGTTTGAAGAACTTAAGACTTGGGTGTTAATCAGGAGACCTACTATTCCAGAAGAATTTTTCTTAGAATTCTTTGTGGAAGGACTAAAAGAAGAAATTAGGAACACTGTAAAAATGCTCAACCCTTATACACTGAGTCAAGCTGTGGAGAAGGCTAGGTTTCAGGAGAAGGTTATTGAGGCACAAATGAGGAAGAGCAGGGTAACTTGGAACAAGGGACCAGTGCAGAATTCTAATGTTGTAGTAACTAAATCCCAAGGGAATTGGTCTAGAGAGGGGCAGAGTAACACATCAAATGCTGGAGTGAAAAGGAACCATAATTTGTATTACAAATGTGGAGATAAGTGGGTTCCTGGCCACCAATGTAAGAATAAGCAACTCAATGCAATGACAGCTGAAGAGGAAATAAGAGAGGTAGATCAAACAACTGACCTACCTCAAGAATTGGAGTTCACTGAAAATTCACAAGAGTTGGAATTGGTGGAGGAGGCCGTTAGCCTCAATGCTTTATCTGGAACAGAGGTCCCAAATACCATTACTTTGAATGGTACAGCTAAAAAGAAGATACTGACTATACTACTAGACTCAGGAAGTACCCATAGTTTCTTGGATATAGAGACTGCTAGACAGATTGGATGCGTATTGAAGGAAGCTAGACCTATGAGAGTCACTGTGGCCAATGGAAATCAATTGATGAGTCTGTATTCTTGCCCTATGTTCAAATGGAAGATACAAGGAATAGAATTTGAGGACTCAGTAAGATTGATTCAGTTAGGGGGTTGTGATTTGATACTAGGGGGTGACTGGATGAAGGCTCATAATCCTGTTCTATTAGACTTTGTGGCATATAGAGCTGTGGTGTCACATAAGGGCAAAAGGGTGGAACTCAAGGGTATGTACAACCAAGCCATTTTGCAGAGTATGTCTAGTGGAAGCATCAAACATTTGTTCAAAAAGGGAAAGGTGTTTTGGGGACATTTATTTACAGTAACAGCAACAGAATTGGAAAAACAGGAGGAGTTACCTTCAGAATTTTCAGGAGTGCTGCAGCTATACAATGATGTGTTTGTAGAGCCAACCTCCTTACCTCCAAAAAGACAGCATGATCATTTCATACCCCTGAAACCAGCATCAACTCCAGTCAGTATCAGGCCTTACAGGTACAACTATTTCCAAAAAAATGAGATAGAGAAACAAGTTAAAGACATGTTATCTAATGGCATTATACAGCCTAGTCATTCCCCATTTTCATCACCTGTACTTTTGGTAAAAAAGAAGGATGGTAGTTGGAGGTTCTGTATTGATTATAGGGAACTTAATAAGATGACTGTGAAAGATAAGTTTCCAATTCCATTGGTAGATGATTTACTAGATGAACTAAGTGGCTCCTATGTGTTTTCTAAGATAGACCTAGGGGTGTGCATTCAATTTATCGATTCGATTTTGACCCTTATCGATAATTACTTATCGATTATCGATTTGTACATATGCTTATCGTTATCGTTTCATTAAGGTTTCGATTTTTTCGATTTCAATTTGTCGATTTTGGGGGCTTATCGATTCGGTTATCGATTACACCAATAAGAAAATTTGCGGGATTCCACGGAAAGTATATCGCTATAAACGTGCCTAACTAATATGGAAAAAAAGAAGCTAAAATAAGACGAACACCATTTATAATATAAAAATTATGTCAACAAGCACATGCAACAAAACTAAAGTAAGGGATCAAATGTATGCGACCAACACTCCAACGGTATAAAAAAACAAAACAAAACAAAACACATCATCACGACTAATTCTGTTTTTCATTAATTTGAACTTCATTCCCTTGATCTTTAAATATGATCATTCCTTAAATGTGGTAGAGGAAATAATAGGGTAAGGGACTTAGGGTAAAGGAAAGGGTATAGATTAGGAAAAATAATATTGTATAGCCGCTTTCAAAATAGTAGCGGAACATATATACATTCTGTATGTTATATTAATCTACACAAATAGGTAACTACTCATTTAACAAGTGTTTACAGTCTAGGGGTGTGCATTCGATTTATCGATTCGATTTTGACCCTTATCGATAATTACTTATCAATTATCGATTTGTACATATGCTTATCGTTATCGTTTCAATAAGGTTTCGATTTTTTCGATTTCGATTTCGATAACATATAATCGATTCGATTTATCGATAAATCGATTCGAATGCACACCCCTAGATAGACCTGAGAGCAGGTTATAATCAGATTAGGATGAATGAGGAAGACATCTACAAAGCAGCTTTTAGAACACATTTGGGTCACTATGAGTTCAAGGTAATGCCATTTGGGTTAACTAATGCTCCTGCCACTTTTCAAATCCTTATGAATCATGTGTTCAAGGATTACTTGAGACAGTTTGTATTAGTTTTCTTTGATGATATCGTAGTATACAGTTCTACTATTCAGGAACATAAGGAACACCTAACTAGGGTGTTAGTGGTTTTAAGAAGGGAGCAGTTGTATGACAAGAGATCTAAATGTTCTTTTGGGCAGAACAAAGTGGAGTATTTAGGCCATATCATCACTGGGAAAGGAGTCACTACTGACCCCTCAAAGATAGAAGCCATGGTAAACTGGCCTGTTCCTAAGTCAATTAAGGCATTAAGGGGATTTTTGGGTTTAACAGGATACTACAGAAGATTTGTGCAATCCTATGGAGTAATCAATAAACCCCTAACTAACCTACTCAAAAAGAATTCCTTTCAGTGGGGACAAGAAGCAGAAACAGCCTTCAACAACCTCAAACAGGCCATGACCACTGCACCTGTTCTAGCATTGGCAGGCTTTACAAAGACATTTGTGGTAGAAACTGATGCTTGTTCAAAGGGTATGGGGGCTGTATTAATGCAGGAAGGAAGACCCTTAGCATTTTTCAGCAAGGCTTTAGCCCCTAGACATTAGGGGTTATCTACTTATGAGAAGGAGTATATGGCAGTACTAGCAGCAGTAGATAGATGGAGGCACTACTTACAAGGGGGACACTTTATCATCAGAACTGATCATCACAGCTTGAAATACCTACCGGAGCAGAAAGTAACTACTGCCCTTCAACAAAAAGGCTTAACTAAGTTGCTAGGATTGGACTATGAAGTACAATACAAAAAAGGAACAGAGAACAAGGTAGCTGATGCATTATCTAGAAGGGAGATAGAGGATTCCAGCATATCTGCCATCACTGTTACTGAGCCTACTTGGATGCAAGAAATTATCCAAAGTTACCAGGATGATCCTATAGTGGCACAATTGTCTATTGAGTTGACAACAGCCCCTAACAGCAAACCACACTATACCTTACAGCAAGGAATTATAAGGTATAAGCAGAGAATATACATAGGAGGGCGAGTTCACCTCAGAAATAAGATTTTTGAGGTGTTATATCAGTCACCCTTGGGTGGTCATGCAGGTCAACTGGGCACTTATAGAAGGATTAAAGGAGTCTTCTATTGGCCCAATATGAAGGCTGAGATAATAAGGAAGGTCTCAGAATGTGATGTCTTCCAGAGGATGAAAACAGAGAATGTGCTTTCTCCAGGTCTATTACAACCACTACCTATTCCAGAAATGCCATGGCAGGACGTAGCCATGGACTTCATTGAAGGGCTTCCCAAATCTGGTAGTATGGAAGTTATATTGGTGGTAGTGGATAGACTAACTAAATATGGTCATTTTGTAGCCCTCAAACATCCTTACACAGCTCAAGATGTAGCTAAAACTTTTCTGAAGGAGATATACAAGTTGCATGGGTTACCAAAGACTATTGTGACAGACAGGGATGCCATTTTTACTAGTCAATTTTGGCAACAGCTCTTCAAAACTATGGGAACTAAGCTAAATATGACTACTTCCTATCATCCCCAATCTGATTGTCAAACGGAAAGGCTAAATAGATGCTTGGAGGCCTATTTGAGATCTATGGTATTCACTAATCCTAAACAATGAGTAAAATGGCTACCTCTAGCGGAGTGGTGGTATAACACCAATTATCACAACTCACTTAAATCTACCCCTTTTCAAGCCTTGTATGGCTTTCCACCTATGCAGGTTCCATTGGGGTCCCTACCCTATTCTACAAACACAGAAGCAGGGTCACTTATAGCTCAGAGACAACAAATGCTACAGAATTTGAAGGAGAATCTGAATCAAGCCCGGGCTCGTATGAAGTTTTATGCTGACAGACACAGGTCAGACAGGAATTTGGAAGTGGGAGATCTAGTCTATCTTAAACTTCAACCATATAGACAAACATCAATAACAGTGAGAAGAAATTTGAAGTTAAGTGCTAAGTATTATGGACCATGCAAAGTTACTGAAAAAATAGGAGCAGTGGCTTACCGGCTAGAGCTTCCACAGGGATCTCAAATCCACCCGGTCTCTCATGTGTCCCAGCTCAAGAAGCATGTTGGACCATCAATTTCCCCACAACAGCAACCTCCAATCTGTAACGAAGAGGGTCAAGTGTTGGTTCAACCATTAGCTATTTTGCAGAGACGAATGGTTAAGGTCAATAATGCAGTGGGGGTGAAGGTACTGGTGCAATGGACAAATTTGGGGGAAGAAGAGGTTACTTGGGAAGATTGGGGCTACATTAAGGGGCGATTCCCTGACTTCGTGGCTTCACTCAGACCTTGAGGACAAGGTCTTTCTTCATCGGAGGGTTATTGTAATGAACTAGGATTGTCGGCGGAAGAAATAAGAAGAGGAATGAAATGAATGTGGATTAGGGTATGAGTAAGTGATGTAGGCGACGTGGCAGCATTTGGAGCGTTCATACACACTTATGATGGACGGCCAGATAACAAGCTCTATTAATAATCAAGGGAGGAGATCTAATAAGGAATATTCTAGACTTTCCTATTAGTAACAGAATTAACAGCAGTAACAAACAAGCAAATACCGGTAATTCCTAAATTCTTTCTCTCTCTATAACTTCTACTTTCTCTCGTCTCTCTCTCTCTACCTTCTAACCCATTTCCTCTTTCTTCTTCTTCTACAGGGATCATTGGAGACATTAGAATAAACTCCATTGGAGATATTAGAGTAGTTAGAGATACAATTCCTACAAATTGTAATCTTTGATTGATCTAATAAAATTCCCCTTGATTTCCGCAATTCTCTTTGTTTCCAAATTCATTTCATTGAGTTTATTACACCAATAATAAAGTAAAAATTCGAAATTCAATTTGTGTACAAGTCAAGTGACATGTGAATATTCCAAGAAACTCACCATTTGTAACTCTTGATATTTACCTGTCTTTCGCAATATGTATATGGGCAGCACATTTACAACTAGCTTTCGCAACGTCAAGAGGTCCATACCTTGAACCCTCACCCCCAAAAAAAAAAAAAAAAAAAAAAAAATTAAAATTAAAAACAGACCCCTGCCATCACCTTTAAGAAATACTATAAATTCAAGTCCTCAATTTGAATCTCTCTACACAGAATATTGCACTATAAGTTCATAACTAAAGAAATATTGTTGCAACTACTACTACTAGCCTTACTAGTGTTCTTTCCGTGGTAGTAGTAAGTCAGTTGCTTTAGTACTATAATTCAATTATTAACAGTAATGGCCTTCTCTGCTGGGCAATCTTACGCAGTTTCCACAACTTTTGATCCCTTGAAACAAAATTCCTGGGGTTCTAAACCTCACGTTTCAACATCTTCCTTCAACAACATCACCTTAAGAAAATGTGACAAGTCCAACATCCTATCAAGAAAGCCACTCTATATTTCAGCAGTACAGAGTGGATTTGGGCATGTTGATGAATCAAAGGAGTCCAAATCTAGAGACCCTTTAGTCCAATGCAATGCATACGACGCTAGTCGACCACAATCGATACCAATCAGCATTGAGTTTGGGCAAGAAGCTCAGGCTGCTGCTGCTCAGAAGCTCAAGATTGGACTCTATTTTGCAACTTGGTGGGCTTTGAATGTTGTCTTCAACATTTACAACAAGAAGGTGTTGAATGCATTTCCATTTCCATGGCTTACTTCCACTCTTTCTCTGGCTGCTGGCTCTCTAATGATGTTGGTTTCTTGGGCTACTAGAATTGCTGAAACTCCAAATACTGACTTTGATTTTTGGAAATCCTTGTTTCCTGTAAGTAAATTATGAATCTTTAGAAGTTCATTTTTGGACATTGAAACTTAGGTTCTAAATGTTTCTTGTACTGTTTTTAGGTTGCTGTGGCACACACAATTGGGCATGTGGCTGCAACAGTGAGCATGTCAAAAGTTGCAGTTTCATTTACTCACATAATTAAGAGTGGAGAGCCTGCTTTCAGTGTTTTGGTTTCAAGTTTACTTTTGGGTGAAACTTTCCCATTGCCAGTGTACCTTTCACTTATGCCTATTATTGGTGGTTGTGCACTTGCTGCTATTACTGAGCTCAACTTCAATCTAACAGGTAAGAAGAAAATGCATGTTTCACCCCTCAATTACAAATCTATATCTTTAGAATATTTCTGTAGTTTTTAATCTTGATAACATGCAGGTTTTATGGGAGCAATGATATCAAACTTGGCATTTGTATTCAGAAATATATTCTCAAAGAAAGGGATGAAGGGGAAGTCAGTTGGAGGGATGAATTACTATGCATGTCTTTCAATGATGTCTCTTTTGATTCTGACTCCTTTTGCTATTGCTGTTGAGGGTCCACAAGTATGGGCACTTGGATGGCAGAATGCAGTCTCCCAAATTGGCCCAAATTTCATATGGTAAGTACATAGTTTTTAGAGATAACAACACTTTGGTTATATTTGTAAATCTCCACAATTGACATTAATAAAATAATGTACAAGAAATTATGTAAAGTACTGAATTGAATGAAAGATCACATGTCACTTTCAGTTTGTTTGTAGCAGTGTACGTCATCTCACATGTTACCCTTTGGAATCATGCTCATATGTGCGGTTCTGGTTTGCATAGTAAAAAACAAAAAGACAGCCCGGTGCACTAAGTTCCCGCTATGCGTAGGGTACGAGAAAGGGCCGTACCACAAGGGTTTATTATACACAACCTTACCCTGCATTTCTGCAAGAGGCTGTTTCCACGGCTTGAACCCGTAACCTCCTGGTTACATAACAACAACTTTACCAGTTACACGAAGGCTCCCCTTTGGTTTGCATAGTAAACGTGGTCCAAAAAACTCACAAGAGCTTAAAAAATACTGTAAACTGAAGATCTGAAAGATTATGTGAACTGATGTCTGTTTGATTGCTGTTTTTTTGTTAGGTGGGTGGTGGCCCAAAGTGTGTTCTATCACTTGTACAATCAAGTCTCTTACATGTCTCTAAATGAGATCTCTCCACTCACATTTAGTATTGGTAACACTATGAAGAGAATTTCTGTCATAGTCTCATCCATCATCATCTTCCAAATTCCAATTCAACCAGTTAATGCCCTTGGTGCTGCCATTGCAGTCTTTGGAACTTTCCTCTACTCACAGGTAAATAGATTCCTATATTAAAAAATAAGTTACTATATTATTTGATATTGTCAGTGTCAGTTTCTTTTCATGTTTACTTGGGGACCAATAAAGATCCATGAAATGATCAATCTAGCATATGGACAACGTAACTTGTTATTTCATCCTAGAGTTATCACTGCACCCCATGCTTAGACAACTAGAAGGATTGTGACCACTCAAAAGAAACCTTTGATTCACTTATAAAAATTAGAGCTAAATTTGTTTTTCTTGTTTGATTATTGCAGGCTAAGCAGTAAGTGAAGTTTGGCGAGGTAAATGAAAAGAAAGAGGTGGAAGTAAAAAATGGACAGCACTAGACTAACAGTTGTAGATGAGATAAGATCATGTATTTTAGTGACTTATTTTTTCCTCCTAGGAAATGACTGGAAACGTCAAGAAAACCAAAATGCTGCTTCATCCAAGCTGCAACTCCCATCCAAGAATTTCTATCAACATTTCTACCGTAGATTAATATGAGAATATATTGTATGAAGTGTTCAATGATTATAAATTCTAAATATTCAGTTAGCTCTATTTCATATTTGAAATTATTTACCTGTAAAACGGTATGGTTGAATTTATTACATGGTTTATAGACAAACGAACTGATGTGATCCTAAATGATAAATAAATTAGATTAAAAGTAAGACTTAGCAATTAGAATCGAAAGAAATGACAAGCCTGGCTCAGGGAGCAATGCCTCCAAGGACAGAAATAAGAGCAATGTAAAACAGAAAGCGAAGTTATTTTATTTAGCTTGAGAATATAGTGTAGCATAAATTTTGCCAAAGATTTCGTGTCTTACTATGGTTGTTGAGTCTACTATTTATAGCTATACCTAGTGAAATAAGGTCCTAGGATCAAGCCCCTCTTAAATGACAATAAAGAGGAACATTGATGAATATGTAACGGCAGGTCATGAATACAAATATTCTCTACAACGGCTGCTCATTTAATGCCAGGAATATTCTTCATTGAATGCTATCCGATGGCAAGCATTTGATTCCGTCCACGTTGATCATATTCCCTTCGGGATCAGTCCGATTTCAATCACAACTGTTGTTCCCGGTGCTGGTTACTACACAATTTACTTTCTACCTATCTTCAGTTCCACGTGTCACGTTGCCATTCGGTCATTTACTGTAAACTAATTTTACCCTATACAGATAGTCTCCCTACTTTCCGGTGGCATAGTCACTAGGAAGTTGGTGAAGATCTCTTTCTTGGTGGAAAATCTTCTGAAAACCTTCTAAACAGTCTTTAACGCTTGAAAGGATGCACGTCTTCTCGCATTTAATACCCCGAATACGTGTTGCCCATGATTTAGCAATATTTTCATCGGTTCTCGAGGTAATCATGAGCACACTTTTTGCCGTCTATGTCTATACTTACACTCATCATCTTACCTGTTTCACTTCCAAAATTTTCATAAGTTTCTTACCTTCTTTGCCCTTAACCTTCTTCTGCCTTAATCTCTTTCCGATTTTCTTCAAAAACTCCATCATGTTCTTACTATTATGGCTTCTTTCACTTAATCATTTAAGAACTCTGGTCTTTTCTTCGGTGGAGGCCCGAAGAGAAGCAAAGATAAAGAAGTTGATGTCGATGTTGATCCTCCTATGGTAAGCACCATCATACCAAATCACTTAAGCACCGTTAATGACTTCCAAGATAAGTTTCCCTCTGTTCATCCACGAACTTGGGTTGTTAGAGGTATCGTTCTTCTATTCATCCTTTAAGTATTCCTACTGTGAAGGAGGACTGTAACTGCCTAGACCTTAACATCATTGCTCGTGACCTGATAGAGCGGGTTACCTTCACCAAGAAGGGTTTTACATATGTCTATACGTACCCCTTCACCGTGGGTACGTTTTCTTTGAGCGGGGGACTTGAACCCGTGATCTTGGACTTATGCCATAGGTACTAGGTCTGCTTGGCATAAGTAGGCCCTTCTGTGTGGCGAATGTTAGCTTGTCTATGCTGACGTGCACGGAGACGTGGAAAACCCTAATCCTGGCACATATGATGAACATCTACTCCCCCAAACATTTTCGTGGGAGAGTAATAAATTTAAGCAAATGTGGTCACCACGCCCTACTTAAGGTTTGAATGGTGATAATGGTCGTTGGTGGATGGAGCAGTTTTTCATCATTGCTACTAGGGATATCATCCTTGCCACAACTCCATCCTTCCTGAATCATGGAGTCGTTCACGTATGTTTATAATTTCTTAATCTCTTTCCTTCGTAAGAAGGCCGCTCCTCATCATTGTTGACCATTTTGTCTTTGTTATTTCAGCTACTAAGTGGACAACACCAAGGGTTGAAGGCCTGGACCAATGGGTTCCGAAGATTTTGGATATTACAACGCCAGATATCAGCCGTGGAAGGAGACAACCCCTAGATATGGATGGAAGGCCAAGAACTACGGTAAACTGATTCTTCCTACTTTCCGCCTTTGTATGTACATAAGTAAATTTGCAGACCACATCTTTTTGTTTGATTCAGTACTTCCGCAGGGCTCTATTACCTGCCCCGAAGTCGAGGTTTTAACCGATACTGTTGAGGCTGCGAGATTGCTGCAAGATGCTCTCACTCGGAGCGTTGCCCTCGGGACTGCTTCCAGTGGGGGCACTTCCTCTCAGAGTCCCCAGCCAGAGAACAAGCGACCAATAAGGCGACACTCTTTCTCGGTTGGGGATAAAAATAAGAAAGTAAAGGAGGGCACACCTGAGCCGGCCATGGCCGCAGTCGTCATTGAAGATGACGGGGAAGCTAGTGATGAAGAGGCTTCCCTTCAACGGAGACAACGATCTTCATCAGCTTAACCGAATGCTAAACCGAATGCTTAACCGGGAGAGCTTCTAGAGTTGACCGATGAAGAGGCCCAAGCACTGTGGGGCGAGATGGATCTGGTAGATAATGCCAACTCCCGTTGTCCTGTCCCATTGTTGTTTCTGGTCTAAGGAGTTTGGGACCCGGGCCTCTTTGCCTTCGGTTAATGAGCAACCGATAATCAGCATTGATCTTGTTGCACCTGTTTCTCAACCTACAATACCAACAACCTAACGCCCCTCTACACCAGCTGCTCCTAAGCCACCAGCATCCGTTGCATCCTTTTCACCGGCCACAGATGCCTGAGAGGAGGGTGCTTCTCTACCCCAGTTCCCTGACCACGGGAATTTGGGGTACAATTACTCACCCCCTTCTCCTGATCCCCGAGAAAGGAGGAGTGCCACTCTCTCGGTTTTAAACCTGTTGTCTAGGCTGGTGGATCTGGCCAACTACCTGAAGCTGCTAGCTTCATAGAAAGATAAGAATAAGATACACTCCCTTTCTGGGAAGTGCATGTTGAAACGACATGCACAATGCGACAACGGTACCGTAATTGTTCTCTTGCTACTTGTTCTTTGTTTATATGTTATTATGGGTTTTCTGACTTTGATATACATTTTGTAGGCCAACTTCCTTGCCTCTGAGGGCCTTCAGAAATTGATCCTTGATAAGAGGGACTTATGTCCGACCGGGTTCAGCTGTTGGTCGATGGGAATCAACTTGATGTGTGCCTCCCGGTGCTAGAGGCAAAGGCTGCTGAAGCGGCCGTGCTTAAGCCCTGGTTGTAGCAGAGTGAGTAGGAAGTGATGGCCCATAGCAAAGAAGTCACTCAGCTACATGCACAACTTCAAGATGCTAAGGCTAGATGGACGGAGCTTGAAGATGCTGCTCTTGCTGCTGCCGACCGCGAGTCTGCCTCCGTTGAGCAAGTAAATAACTTGGAGGCAGCCTTGAGCTCCAAAAGCAAAGAGGCTGCTGCCGCCGAGGAGAAGCGGGCCTGGATGGAAGATAGGTTTAAGAAGATCATGGATCAAAATCGGGTTCACATATCCGATCAGGATGGTCTCCAGGCCGATGTTGACAAGCTTAAGTCAATAATCATGTTCAAAGAAGTTTCCCTCGTATTTGAAATGACGTACGCTATGTATCATATGAGGAGAAAAACCTTGGAGGATGTCAAAGCGGGCATCGTTGATATTGATAACGAAATCTCCAAGGCCCAAGCACTGGAGTTCACTGCGTGAGAATGTCTCCCTGCTAAGCTTGACGCAACTGACTCTTCGAGTATCGGTTCTGAGTATTCGGGAACCGAGGAGGAACTTGAAGAGAATGATGATGAAGGCCTAGGTCCCGCACCGGCGGCAGATCCGCCCACTTTTCCCGGGGGGGGGGGGGGCGTAGATGCCTCTCTCCACCGAGTTTCGATGGTGATTAGATTTTTCCTCTTTTCTTTTGTTATTTTCCTTTGTACTTTTGTACTTGAACCATTTGACCTTTTGATAAATAAAGAAGACTTTATCTTAAGTATTGCACAAAGTTTTATTCTTTTTGCGTCGAATTAGATAAGGCTTCAGGTGTATTTTCTTCTGATAGCTTTTTGTTCCGAGCATAAATTCTTTCGGAACCAACCCTTTACTATGAGGGTTTCATAAGAGAGGGCCCTATTATATTATCACACAAAATCTCCTTCGGTATTCTGAACCGGCGTTATGTATTCCTATAGGAAGTCGATCACTTCATGCTCACTGATCTTTTGGTAAGGACCTGCTTTAACCCATTTATCGAAGTAATCAATTAAAATTAAAAGGAATCTTACCTTTCCGGGACTCGGTGGCAGCGGCCCAACTATACCCATCCCCCATTTCATAAATGGCCTCGGTAATAGTACCGAATGAAAAAGTTCTTCCGGTTAGTGCACCAATTATGCATGGCCGTATATTTGTCTCATTTCTGAACGAACGCCTTTGCATCATGTTCCACGTGGGGCCAGTTGTATCCTTCCCTAATCAGCTTTAGCACCAACGAATCTGCACCAGAATAGTTCCGACAAATTCTTTCATGGACCTCTCTCATCAACGTAGTCCACCTCCGAGGCTCCTAAACATCGGGCTAACAGGCCTTGGAATGATCTCATATATAAGTTTCCACCTAGGAGGCTGTAGCGAGCCGCTTTGGTGCATAGTGCCCGGGATTCCTTCGGGCAGCTTGCCATGCTGAAGATAATCGATGAAGTCATTCCTCTAGTCCTAGACCAGGTTGGTTGTATTTACTTCATAATAGCCGTCCACATCCAGTACCGAATACGTAAGTTGAATGATAGTACCGGAGTCAGATCCTTTCATTTTTGTGGATGACCCCAAATTGGCCAGTGCATCTGCTTCTATGTTCTCTTCTCTCGGAATGTGCGTGATCGACCACTCCCTGAATCGTGCAAGTGAAGTTTGAACTTTAATCACGTACTGTTGCATGTGTTCCTCCTTCGCATAGAAAATCACGTACACTTTGTTTACTACCAGTTGGGAATCACATTTGATTTCTATGACCTCAGAGCCAAGTCCCTGGGCTAGTTTGAGTCCTGCAACCATCCGTGAACAAAGTCCAAACTCCTGATGTCATTTCCGATGCCACCACCGCCTCTTTAGCAGCCAGGGGCAACAACTCGGGACTAAAATCGGCCAAAAAGTCGGCCAAAACTTGTGAT